AAGAATTAAAATTTTAAAAATCAGTATAAGAAAGGATAATGATCTATTATTAAAAATACTAAATCATGTGGGAAAACACTTTTCTTCCTAGATTATGTCAGATAAGTATGGTCTTACTACAAAATGCATAGAAGGTATTTTTTTGAGACAGGGTCTCACTATGTAATTCAGACTAGATTTGAACCCACTCAAACTAACACCTATCCTCCTGCCTCAGCCTTCTGAGTGCTGAGATTACAGGCATGTGCCACCATACCTGGCTTGGGGACTACAGTATTTTTGAAGTCAGCTATCTAAAATTTAGATGCCAAGTAGTCCAAACCAAAACAATTAATTTTGTGAAAAGACCAAGCTTTTCTTCACTAATCTGTTTTATTTCTCAAAAACAGTCCATGTTGCCGGGGAGATAGCTCAGTAGAATAATCACCTGCCTGGCAAGCGCAAGGTTGTGAGTTCAATCCCTGGTGCCATCAAAAAAAAAAAAGGAGGGGGGGATTTGGCTCAGCAGTAGAATGCTTGCCTAGCAAGCTGGAAGCCATGGGTTCGGTCCTCGGCACCAAAAACAAAAAATAAACCTCCCCTAAAAAAATAAAAAAATAAAGTTTTTGCAACTTCAGCAAACTTGGTCTCTATGCACTATATATGTCAGTACCTCTTTTCTCTCTGCTCCCTAATTGTGACAACCAAAAATGTGTCTAGACATTGCCGAATGCTCTCTGGGACAAAAATCACTCCCAGGGGGAACTGTTGCTTTAAATGTTTTAGAGACTAATAGACATTGCTAAGAATCTGAAAGACAAAACTCAAAAGATGTTTATGTTTTGGTTTTAGAACCAAGGGCTAAAAATTTTAAATTCATAATTATTTCAATGGTTTATTATTGAAAGGATAATTGTTTAGTTCCAAGATTTGCCAAGAAACACCGAAAAGTAGTACATGTCTTAGAAGAACCATTTTATAATTTGTTTTATAATCATCCCATTGAGGCTTCAGAGAAGAAATCAGACAATTCTTTTTTGCTAGAACATATTTTTAGGTTCCTTGAAACCATCTAGAAATAAATCTATATTTCAAAAATGTTTCGTAGAAGAAACTATACTTAGCACCCCCAAAACCCCTTTTTACTCCACAGGCTGAAATTGTGAAACTAAACCATTACAAGATGAAGGAGTTTTCTAAACTCGTTGTAGGGCCAGCAAGATAGCTCAGCAGACTAAGCACCTGCT